TAATCATGTGATCTGGATTGAATTAATCCGGCTTGGATCTTTAAATCACGTGAAACTACCTTGCTTTAGTGGACCCCCATATATAGCAATTGATAATCAATTTTAGCCAATAAAAATTAAGGGTAAATATAGGCCATCCGGTTAACGGGAGCGACGTGTAAACCAAAGTGTTCTGTTAGGTGTTCCCGTTTGGCTTGATTTGGAATTTGGGGATTGTTACCGTTAAGCTAAAAAGGAATACGCTAACGGGAACGTTACGGGGCAAATGAGAACACCCAAAGTGTTTTGAAAAATTCGGTTTATCAAGGAGGACTTACTATAATTGTTCCTGAAACCAACCTCAAATTATCGAAGTCCAGTTTATCGGATTTACCTTTGAACTGAACAAGAGTTGGATGGTTCTGTGTCAGAATTAAGATTACTATATATGATTTTTTCGAATATTGTTACCAGAAAGGTGTTGCAATGAGAGCGGGAATAAAACAGCAAGAAGACAGGATTATATAACTAATTTTTTTTTAATAAACATAAATTTTCAACCCTGCCCGAGGGAGATAATTTCTAGGTGCCGTTTTTTTTGATACTTTATGAATTGGTTCAAATTTTCGTGAGAAATTTGAGCAAGGGATTCAAAGAAAATTTAAGAGTTTTAATTTTTAATAAGCTTTGCGTGCGACATTATTTTTCATAGGAGATCGAGATGACGATCATTAATTTCGATTGTATTTTTCATGTTGAGACCTCTCTAAATGCACCCTCCATAAATGCACGCCCTCCCTAAATGCACTTAGGGAGAGTTGACCGTGTCAGAACATCTACCTTTCAAGCCAAGAATGAAAATAAAGGGAGACCGTGCTATTCTTGCTCGTAATAATTTCTTCATTGCGGATGATAATGCAACAGACGAATAGCGTGTCTGCTAATCAGAATAAACGTCCTCAAACTTACTACACTCGTTTTATCAAGTTGAATTGATATTACTGTACCATCGTTCGGATTTTGCTAAAAATGGGCGCGTGCATGGGTGGTAAGTTGGAGATGTTTAGAAAGTGAATGATTGAAAATGATTGTAAAGGATTGCGAACTTCTCTTTCCCGTTGTATATATACACTTTTTCGAATCATTGTTTAAAGTTTGCTTATACCAATCATCAAAACTTTGATCTTTATGCGTTTCACGTCTCCAGCGAGTAGCTCATAACATCCTGTTTGTAATTCTCGCTGCGATCTTTTCAATTTCGGGGGAATATTCTAGAAGCATTGTTTATCATGTTTTGGTAAAGTATCCACGTTACCTTTTTCTAATTGTTCCGGCGAAAATGAATTTTTTATTTATTTGCACTCTATTAAATTCACCAATACATGTGAGACTATATCGATATACCAATAATACATGGTGTGACAATATATATATATATATATATATATTTATATATACTATATGTTGATTGGATTGATCTAAAACTCCTGATCGAAATTCCACCTAATACAAATGTATATATGAATCTTCCTTCGGATATTGGGATCTAGGTCTAAGGAAAGTTGATTTTTAGCGTCACCCGATACCGATACCAAAACTACTATAATATTTCGACCAATGAGCATCAACAAAATATATGAATAAAATATTCATCCTAATGACATCACTTCTACTACAAGGCTATTTTACCTAGAAACCTCCACAGACTGATGAAAATTTTGATGATAAGACTATACATATAAAAAAGGATACTCCATTGCAAAAAAAATAAATACATAACCCTTTTTATTTTTTTTTTCGATTTGTTCGATTTTATTTTAATTTCTCATATACACCCATCTCTGACAGTCGTGTATACCATTTTCAGTAACGGTCTATACTCTGTTTAAATCTTTTCTCATCTTTACGAAGAGCACCTTGATGTTTTATTTGGTTTAAAAATGAACCGACAACAAGCAAACACAACAACAAATACTCCAAGACCACCAGTAAATAATTACGCAAGAGCTGCTGCGCAGCAAAAACCAAAAATTGTACAGCAATCACAGCTGCAACAAACGCAACCGCAAAGACAAACGCAGCATCCGACGCAAAATATTAATACTCAACAACAAGCTTCTGCTGCCGCGGGACCTCTGTTGAATCATGGCTCATCCTTAAACGGAAAGTCCATGCCCACAACGAAATCTCAGCCACAGCAGCAACAACAGCAGAATTTGAATAACGCTGGTGTCAATATAAATAATAATAATAATAATAATGGTCGTATTGTGTCTGCAAATAATAATAATAACAATAATAATAGTAATATTAAACCACCTACACTAAAGAATGGCAACCCAGTACAATTCTCGACTGGCTCTCATTTCTCAAACACAAATGGTAAGTACTAACTCCTTTCTGGTCAGGGGTAGAAGGAACACAGTGTAGAGGAATTGGGGGTAGAAAATATCGATTTGTTGCTACTGTTGCTCTATTTGCATTTCTAAAAAAAAAAGACATTAATGAATCACGATATTAATTCATCGGACGTATAATTTTTAATGAAAATGGTTGGGAAAGGGGAAAATATCGAATCGGTTCATTTCTTGTATGTTTAACGAAATGAAAGTGGAATTGATTCTTTTTCGGGAATCTATTAAGTAATCTTATTGAAATAAAATATTAAACAAGAAAAACATACTAAAAATTTGTCGTTTATTACAGCATCACCTACAACTCCAACCTCCATACAATTCGGATCCATTAATCAACCTTCTTCCTCCTCGGCTGTTCCCATCTCTCCTACGACACCATCATCCGCAAGCAATTCCGGCGGGAAAGTGCCAACCCAATTCCAGAAAAATAATAATAATATGACGATGGCTTTTGGACAAGTGGAATTGGTAAGGGATAAAACTTTTTCATTATATTATTATTTTATACATTGAATTATTTAAATTTAATGTTAAGTTATTCTTTTAATGAACGACAGGCACATAATTCAACTCAACCATCGTCAAATCAAACACAAATATCCACACCAGCAGTAGTATCACCTGTAGTCTCTGGACCTGGACGGCCAACACGGTTTAATGAAATTCCCAGAACACATTCGGCACCACCACAAACAAACAATAATGATTCAAATCAAAACAAAACGAACAATCATCAAATTCAACAGACACAAGCCGTTGGACATACACAGCCTGTAGTGCATCAACAACCTGCTCATACTACAGGACCAACTGTACTTAACAATGCACATCAAATAAACATAAACAGTCATCAACAACAGTTATCGTCTATTACCACAAATCACACATCAAGTATAACTACGAATAATCCGTTAGCCAATACTACAGCACACAACATAACACCAACCCGCCAAATACACACAGGACACGAATTACCGCATCATCGGAAAGATTCCGTGTCCTCAAATGTGTCCTCGAATGATGGACAGTCGCAGCAATCAACACATCATCCTTCACATCAACACCCTTCGCCTCATCATCCAAATCATAATACTCAACATAATCATGGCGGACATTTTCAACATCATCCACATCCTCAACGACATAATCCACATCCTAAACAAACAGGTGGAATGGGTCACGGTCCAACAGTAGGACCTGGAATGTCAAATCAATATAATAATCCAAGACCACCTCGGGATAAAAACGCACCTTCGGCACATATTTCTCCATCTCCTCACATGAATCCACCACAGACTAATGTTCCCAACCCAACGCCAATGGCGATGCCTCCTCAACTATCTTCTATACCTCTTCAACATTCTCATCAAATGTGGCCACAATATCGAGTAAGTTGTTTTTTAATTTTCTGCTTCCTTTAACTGCATTATATTATATATCTAAATAATAACAACAGAACTCATCTGACCAGTATCCTATCCAGCAGTTTTACGATTCATACTATTCTCCTGTTTATCCTATACCATACCCCGTTACTACGCCTCGCGTTCCCATCCCAACATCACCTCATGTCAACAATTCAGCACAAATCGTTCCCCCGGCTAAAAACAAGGCTATTCCTATAATTAATCCGCTAAGTTTGAAAGAAAATCCTTTACCGCAAAAGTCTTCGTTACCAAAAAAAGACGAAACTCCTCCGCCGGCAGTAACAATCGAACCAAAACAATCAGCGGAAACTATTGTGGATAAAGATAAACAATTAACTGAAACTAAGGAGTCAAAAGCGGTAAAAATAGTACATCCTGCTGAAAAAGAAAAAGAGGAGCGAGAAAGAAAAGAGAAGGAAGAACAGGAGCGCCGAGACCGCGAGGAAAAAGAACGTCGAGAACGGGAGGAGCGTGAGCGGAAGGAACGGGAAGAAAAAGAGCGTAAAGAGAGAGAGGAACGTCATAAAAGAGAACTGCGAGAACGCGAAGAGAGAGAGCGAATAGAACGAGAAGAGAAAGTGAAGAAAGAACGCGAGGAAAAAGAACGCAAAGAGCGTGAAGATCAGGAAAGAAAAGAGCGTGAAGAAAAAGAACGCAAAGAACGTGAAGAACGATTAAGAAAGGAACGTGAGGAAAAAGAACGTGAAGAGCAATTAAGAAAAGAAAAAGAGGAAAAAGAGAGAAAGGAGCGCGAAGAACGTGAAAGAAAGGAGCGAGACGAAAGAATCAAAAAAGAACAAGAGGAAAAAGAGAGGAAGGAGCGCGAAGAACGTGAAAGGAAGGAGCGAGAAGAGGCCGAAAAAATCAAAAGAGAACAAGAGGAAAAGGAGAGGAAGGAGCGCGAAGAACGTGAAAGGAAGGAGCGAGAAGAAACTGAAAGAATAAAAAAGGAACAGGAGGAGAAAGAGCGCCAAGCAAAAGAAGAAAAGGTGCGTTTTGATTTGGAGCAAAAGAAAAAAGAGGAAGAAGAGGCTGTTGCTACCGCTGCAAAAGCTGTCGAAGAAGCAGAAAGGCAGAAGCAAGTAGAGCCAGCAGAAAAATCTGAACCTAAGAAAGAAGAGAAGAAGGTAACCAAGGGCCGTCCAGGTCCTCTTGATCTATCAAGAGCCACATCGACTCCTGCTCTTGGAAGTGCTCCGCTAAGTGCTTTAGGAAGCGCCCGGATCATTGATGACTTGAATAATATTACTTATCCACCAAACATTAAATCACCAAATCCGCAACTAAATGCAAATGCGGAACCCGGTAAATTTAAATATGACAGGTCATTTTTAATGCAATTTATGGACGTTTGCAAAGACAAACCGGACAATCTACCAGCTTTGGATGCTATTGGAATGGAGGAATCGAAAGAAGATAAAAAACGTACTCAACAACGAAATATGGGAGGATCAAGTGGAAGTGGATCTGGTGTTGGTAATTCAAGAACACCTCCGCATAAATCAGTTGGTACATCTCAATACACGAACATGGGAGAATTTAAATCTCCACCAAAAACTAGCGATGAGAGATTCCAGCAATCTACCACTAATCTTATCATGAGCCGACCTAGTAGCAGTAGTTTCGGACGCGCACCACTTGGTAATCGACCCGGAAGTAATAACCCATTATTACCTCCTAATGCTATGTTATCTAACAATAATCCACCAAGCCCGGGAAGAACTCCAAGTGGACGTGGCGGAGGCAGAGACCGACAATCAAGAGGAAAGTCTCAACATTCTCAACCCGGTGCTCCGACAATTCCTCCTGATCAAGTAGTTCCTCTTAAACAATCTGAAAACCGGTGGCAACCTCCAACAATTGCTGGAGGCCTGCCAAATTCTACTGAAGACTTCATTCCACTAGAAGTTGTCCAACGGAAAGTCAAAGCTTTACTAAATAAATTGACATTGGAGAAATTTGACAGAATTTCTGATCAAATTATTGATTATGCCAACAAATCTCGCACCGAAAAAGATGGTCGGATTTTAAGAACAGTCATCCAACTCACCTTTCTCAAAGCGTGTGACGAGTCTAACTTCAGTCAGATGTATGCACAGCTTTGCCGGAAGATGATGGAACGAATTGATCCGGAAATCGTGGATGAGAATGTAAAGAGCCCAGATGGTAATAAATATGTACAAGGTGGAACTTTGTTTAGGTATTTATTAGTACAATTTTGATTGCATTTTGTTTTTTTTAAATATAATCTTGTTGCATTATTAAATTGAAGATACATATAATTGATTCATTTTTTAATCATGTTCCCTTTGAATATTAATTCTTTAACAAATAGAAAATATCTACTAAATCGGTGCCAAGAAGACTTCGAAAAGGGTTGGAAAGTAAATATACCAGTACCTAACGATGCCAATGGGGAACCCGATCTTTTATCCGACGAGTATTACGCTGCTGTGAAAGCTAAACGTATAGGCCTCGGTCTAATCAAATTCATTGGCGAGCTCTTCAAGCTTACTATGCTTACCGAAAGGATCATGCACGAGTGTATAAAGAAGCTGCTCAGTAATGTCTCAAATCCAGAAGAAGAAGAGACGGAAAGTCTTTGCAAGTTGCTTACTACTGTTGGTAAGCAACTTGATCATCCAAAGGCTAAGGATCACATGGACGCCTATTTCACTAGGATGAAAACTATGAGTGATAATCCAAATTTGAGTAGTAGAATAAAGTTCATGATACTTGTGAGTTTTTTGTCTTCCATTCGCTCAATTTGGTATTTTTTCTGTTTTGTGATGCCAATCTTTATTTTATTTTTGATCATTCCCATATTTATAGGATGTCATTGATCTCAGAAATAACAATTGGGTACCAAGACGCGATAATAATGCACCAAAGACAATTGCAGAGATCCATGAAGATGTTTGTATTATATAATATTTCTTTTTTGTGCATATTTATCATTAAAAGTTACTAAATTAACGATTTTGAATTATTTATTAGGCCGCTAAACAGAAAGAAGAGGCCGAATTCTTACGGCGGACGGCCAGCAGTGGTGGTAAGGGTAACTAATAAATATTTTCCTTATTATATTTTGAAAACGTTTTATTCAAAATCTAACAAAATCTTAATATCATCATACAATATATCACATTAACTCACATTAACTTGTATTATTATTTCAAAAATTGCAGGTTTGCCAAGACTCGACCAACAGTTATCTAGAGTTGGCTCAGGACGACGGGATCCACGCGACAAAGGAACACACGGAGGGAACGTTCCACCTAGTAACGCAGATGGTTGGAGCACAGTCGGAAGCTCTTCATCAGCATCAAGAAAAACCGGCGACTTGTCCAAATTTGGCTCTGTTTCACGAAGTAAAGTGTCTGCTGGTCTAAGCTTAGCTCCCGGTGGACAAGGGTCATTCGCTGGTCTTGCTGGAGGGTCAAAAGGATGGAAATCAGATAATCGGGATCGCGATGACAAGCCTTCAGTAGCGAACCGGACAAGTCCAGTTCCTCCTACCACAAGCAGCACCAATTCATTTAGTATATTAGCACATACCGAAAGTACAGAAGGACGGAAAAGTATGGATGGTGCTTCTACAAATGCAGAGGCTGTGAAATCGATGGCATCGACTTCAACTCCTCCGCAAGAACGGAGAAAATTGAATCTGCTACCAAAAGGATCGACTCCAGGAAATGTCCCTATTAAATCTACCGATACTCTCACCAAAGATACAACCTCGACATCTGCTGAGAAACCAGCCGAAACTCCAAGTCTCGCAGACCAAGCAAGCAAAAAAATAAAAAATATGATCGAAGAATATTGGTCGGTGTTGGATATAAAGGTTAGTAGTATACTTGTTTTTTTATTCTCCAATAATTCTTGACTAAATTTTCTATTGCACTTTACTAAAAATAATAGGAAGTAATTGCATGCATGAAAGAACTTCCTCCTCAATACCTAGCAGAAGCATTTCTAAGCTTCATAACTGGAGTTATAGAGAAAAAACAAAAAGATGTCAACAATGTCGCGGAAGTCTTTAAAGAACTTACCTCAAAAGCAATAATAGGGAAGGCTGACGTAAAAAAAGCTTTTGAGGATGCCTTGCCGATTGTAGACGACCTTGAACTCGATGTACCACAAGTGTCCGAGTTCACAGGTCAGCTACTCCATAGCGCAGGACTTGAGATTGATGAAACAGCTGAATTGGTCTCAACTATGAACTTATCAAACATGGAGTCCTCGGCAGCAAAAACAATGTTAGCCTATCTCGATGCCTTGAAGTCTGAAATCGTAAGTATTTCATATTATTTTTGATTTTATATTTTTCTGATACTTTTATTAAACATAGTGTAATTTTCTTCTTTGCTTGTAAAGGGAGAAACAGCATTTGAGAACAAATTATATGACTCCTCATTCACGTTAAAGACCATCTCTCTTAACGCTACCCCAGACCAAATTAATAAAGTTTTGGACAAACGTGTAAGTCTTAATTATTTAGCTTTTATAAATTCATTTCTTTTATTCTAACTTGAAATCATGTTTTCCGAATTAATTATCAGGGCCTTTCTAAAATACGGAACATCATCAATAAATAGGGTGGAAATGACAACAAAAAAACATCATATATTCCTAGATTTCTTAAAAATTATCATCATCATCATCAATATTATTATTACTGAACAATAATACCTAGAGTAATTATAATAATATATATAAATTGAAAATTAGAATTTTTTCTTGCACATTACTTTTTATATATACATATAAAATATATATACTACAATACACTTTATTTTTATTATTATATCATTAAATTTATTCATTGTGTAAATTTTTTCCTTTACTTTTTCCGACTTCGTGTTTGTGATTTTTTTATTATAATTCCTTTTTCACACTCTCACTTGTCACACATTCTTCTTGTATTAAAAACCACAACCAAAATATATATTTTCCTCCCGGCAATATTATTTCAATTACTATTTTTCTTATTCTTTCTTTTATAATTTCTAATTATAATTACCATTAATTTTTTGCCGATTTTTATTTTGGAGTTGGCATTCATTTCGCTTTGAACATATATAAAAAACAATGATTGTTATTTTTTTATTATTATTAGAATTGATTTTATTATCGTATCGTTAATGTTGATAGTTTACATCCACAACACTTGCAAAATCAATCTTTGATCATCAACAACAATAATAATAATAATTCAACAATTTCCTGCCACCCTTTTTGCTTTTTATTCTTTTGTACATTTTTTTCTTCTTTTTTACACAGTAAATAGTAGTAACACAAATGACGTATAGCATATTATTATTATACATATAATAAAATTCTATATAATAATCTCCTTTCTTTTGTAGTACATAATATATCTATTATTTAGATATTTCTCGAATAGGTTATTTTGATACAATTGCTATATGATTACATATCTATATATATATATATATATGTATGTATGTATGTATGTATTAATAGGGGTTAAGTAGAATTCTTTTATATTTAGAATAAAATAAGGTCAACATTTACTGTTATTATTGTTATTAATCTTTTGTTATGGCATTTCTTGCCTACAAATTTTCCTCGGTGAATAATAAGTAATGTTAATAAGAATTTAAAGTATTTCCGATACAGGTATAATGATAGGATTTGTGGGTGTATATGATTTTTTTGAAGTGATATGTTCAAATAATTTTATTGAGTTGCTCCAACGTCACCCAAAACCCCAAGCAAATCTGTATAAAACTCCAATCCCTCCAAATAAATTTTCTCGTTCAACCGTTCATTGTGATCGTGTAGCAGAACGGGCGTATTTTTTATGTAGGAGACGCCTAATGCAGGAATTCCGATTTCACGAATGTATCGCGAGTCGGTTGCTGCTGGGAAAATTTCTGTCTCGATTGAAATGTTTCTATAAAAGATGACCAAAACAATTCATAGGTTGTGTCGAAAGGATAAAAAGATATTATTATTTTTGCCCAACCAATCAATATTTATTTGAGTTTACTTACCGTTTTTGACAAAGATCACGAAAGGCCACCCACCAAATATTAGAGTCGTCGATAGTAGTTACGCTATTATCTCCATGGTACTGTACGTATTCCAACTCGGCACTTTTGATTATTAGTAGATTATTAAATTGATTATATATAATAAAAATTGCGAATGATAAATAATACATGGCTTACCCCGGTTCGGTATATACGAATTCCTCAATAATCTGTTTAAATCGTAAGAGATCGAAATTCGGTGAGACACGAATATCGAATCCTGCTTTTGCTTCTAGTGGGATGACATTATGTTGTATGCCAGCCTATATTATCAATAATATAGATATTTTATTATACGTGAATTCTAACAAAGTATTGAGTTTCACTTATATATAAAGTGTTACTGTATTTATGTACGTACTTGTAAAATAGTAAGATTCACACTGCTCACATCACCCAGATTGTATTTTCTGCCATCTGGATGCACACTTATCTCCAGTTGTCGTTCTTGTGACGCGCGAAATTCCAAGAACCGGTTAATTATTTTATTCTGTGGAGATGAAAATAATTGATATCAATTAAAAACGATACTCGAAAATTATGATATAAAAAGCATACGTACTAGTTTCGAAACAGCAGTATCCTGAATAAACTGTGATCCGTGCCCAGTATTTCCCTTAGTTGTGACTATAATCCACCATGGAGCCCGTTCGCCATAGAAAACTTTCAGAGCGTCCGAAGGATTTGCAAGGCCCTCGTCCAGCGCAAAGCCGATATTCAAGTCTCGGAAATCCTGAGATTTGACGAATTTTGCCATCCCGTCTACCCCGCCAATTTCCTCATCTTTAAATAAGCCATTTTTAAAAAATCAATATTACCCGTACATAAATAATATAATAATACTATTTGTTTGTATTTACCAGGAACAAACGAAAGATGTATAGTTCGTAGCGGTTGTTTGCCTTTTGCTTTTAGATTACGTATGGCTTCGAGATAACTGGTCCCAACGCACTTCATATCTTGTGCGCCGCGCGCAACAATATCGCCATTCTCTAGCTTCTTTGCTTCAAATGGATCACAGATCCATTTATCCTTTAGATGTTTTATAAAATATATTAACGCACATAACCCACGTACATTTAAAGTATACTTTGAATCTTGTTCTCGGATGATTTAAATTCATACCTCGAATACAGGTACAACATCCGTATGAGAATTTAACAATATTGCGGGTAGTTTTGGATCACGGCCTTCCCAAGTAAGTAAAACAATAGGTTTACCTGGTACATACTAATTATATTGTATTGGTGATGAATAGTTTAGTTATTCGATTAAATTATCATCTATCCACCCTCTAGATATTTAATATCAGAGTTCTCCGAAAACAATTAAAAAATACCGTCAAGATTCTAGAAGACACCCCAATCTCTTTAGCCTCTCTTAACAAAAATGCAGTCGAAGAATCATAATCAGGGTTCGGCTGGACTGTTTTTATACGTAAGTACTCTCTAAATCGTGAAACTGCTGGGTGTTCTGTGACCATATTGCTTTTTTGTAATGTGTGGAGGAAGCAACCACAATAATAACTAGAAAGCTGTTTATTAAATCCTCTGAAACCTGTATTACTACTTTTTTTCAAAAAGTTATGCATCTACCTACCACCACTTGTAACGCGAAACCTCGGGCGCGTTATAGCAGCCTGCATTTTATTTTAGATTAACATCTATTTAACTACATCATCTACCATCACAATCGACATTGGAAAATTCTCAAGAGAATTATGCAATGAAATCAATAAAGAATTGCATGTACAAGAGTAAATTTTCATCCATTTAAAGGTTTGGAATCAAAAGGAAATATTTTATTGCAGATCAAAATAATCGATGAGTATACAGATATAATAACTCGATTGATCATATTTTAGAAATTAATAAATGGTAGGAAATATCAGTCCATTTAACAACGAAAATGTATGAAAAAAAATTTCACGCAAAAGCATCGTTCTTGACCCGTCACGATATATGATTGATTGATTATAATCGTTCACCGTAAAAGATGAAGTATCAATTCATATATAACTCACTATAAGTCACCTAATCATATACTTACCTTGACGGATCAAGAACGATATTCTTACGTCTACCTTTGTTCCGATCCCAAATCATCATCATCCGATGCTCGCGATCTCGAACTTATTCGCAGTCCAGTAGTCTACTACAAAATATAAGAATAAAGTGAGCGCATTTTTGACCGCAATCAAAGAATTAATTAGAGGGTGAAATAATTCCATGGTAACCCAATAAATTACAGAATTCCAGTGAACAAAACAATATGCAAAAAAATAAATCATCCAAATATTTTTTGAAATATAATAAAAAACAAAAATATTTGTTCGCCCTTATTATAAAATGGTAATAGTAAGATAATAAATAATAACGGTAATAATAGTGATAACAAGAATCGCATTCCATTTTTTCATCCGTACATTATCTATTATATATAACAAAAAAGCAAAAAATAGACATACACAAACATAAAGCACCAAAATTTTGTTCTGCACTATTATATAAAGCTCTTCTTGAGAGAGTAATATGTTTGTTTGCTGATTGCTTTTGCTGGTTGTTGATTCCAGTTTCCAGACAAATTGATGATAATAATAATAATTATAGTCATGATAATAATACTAATAATAATAGTAAGGCATTCATTCATAATATAATGCTTTTTTTTCTATTATACCATTAGTTATCAATTGTCGATCTGAATTGATGTTTTGTTTTTTGTTTTTAAATTGTTTTTTCTCTCAAGAGCAGAGTTTTTCTTTTTTTTTTAGTTAAATCATGATTTTCTTTTTTTTTTGATAAGCATCGATGACGCGAAATGCTACATCGTGCTGAAATGATATTTACTCAACCCGATATTACCTTGAGCATCTCGAATAATCACACCTTTTATCACACCGAGCACTTCATGCGGTTCTGGCATTGACAATCTCGGTGCAGAACTTGGGCCAGCCATGAAGTCTCTATATATATAACGCAAAAAAAAGAAACGATGAGAAACAAAGTGTAAAATCGAGTTGATTCTAAAAATATTTACGTGGGCAATGGAATTGCTGTATGTCGTCCTGGTTGGTTCCATCCGAATGATGTGATGTGAGACTGGCCTGTTTGCATCTGCGCAGCATCCCAGCCTGTGGTATTTGCGGCAGCAGCTCCAGCTTGAGAATATTGGTATTGATTTGCTGCTTGCCCATTCAGTTGGTGATCTTGTGGATATTGTGGATAGTAGCCAGCATAAGTCTGGCCAGTGTAGTCTTGCTGGTATCCTGTTGGAGCTAATAAATTCGAAAGCATGATTAAAGAGAATGAATAAATAATAGCAATAATTTGTAAATTAATTACTTGTAGGGAATTGCTGTTGTTCTGAAGAGTATTGCTGATATTCATATCCTGTTTGTGATGATGGTTGCATTTGAGGGGCTGGAGGTGGATTGGGAGGCATTGGTGGTGCTTCATAAATTGCTGGTGATGGTTTAGGTGGTGGCACAATAGGTCCGGGATGTGGTGGTGGGCCGCGATAATCTCTAGAATGTCTATTATCATCAGGTCTACGATCATACATATTACTAGTATCTCTTCGTCTATCATCATATGCTCCTCCTGGTCGATGATATTGATCATCTCTTCGAGCTAATTGAGGTCTTTCACGTCCAAACGGGGGTGGTCCTGGTGGTGGAGCTCGATAATCTTGTCTACGATCATAATCCCGACGTTGATATTCATCACGACGATCTCTATGATAATCATCTGGTCGTCGATCTCTGTAATCTCGATCATCACGAATACCTCCTCCCCAATCACGTCGACGAGGTGCCCCTTGTTGTGGATATGGAGAATGTCTCGGAGGTGCACCACGTTGTGGCCAATAACCTCCTCTGCTATAACCTCCTCTACCACGACGTGGTTGGTCAGTATAAACATTTTGCATTACTGCCACATCTTTTTTATTATGTTGTTCCCATAATCGAAATACTGTTAAAAGTTCTAAAAAATTCCTCGACATTATTAGATATTTTTGAGATTTAAAGAATTCGTAATTAAGTTATAATAAATAGTACCTAGTGATGGTGTATTTTGATTTGATCCCCCGTTTTCGGATACAGTAACCGAGTTACTTTGGAATTTGACTTCTTCAAGCGTATCCGTAAAGATTTTGTGCAATGTAAAAGTTTCCAAGAACTTCGCTTTAAAATTCTTTTTTTTTTACAAAAAGGTAAATAATAATCAATCAATTATTTGAAAAAATCATATGAAAATAAATAAACAAAATTCATACTTCAGACTCGGGCGTAATGTCTTTTATAACCTCTTTCCCTTTCTGCAGTAAATGATGATGAATGCTTTATTGAGAAGAAAGATAATAAAAAAATAATTAGATTTACAAAGTTGACTCTGTGTGTGGTTCTTACTTCATCCAACTCTTGCAAAATTCGATCTCTTGTTGTTTGAACAACAATCTCGTTGCAAAAGAGTTTTAAATCAGCATGCAATTTCTTTCGATCGCTAAATAACTCTGTTGTTTCCTCTTCTGTTTTTTTCGAAAGATATCCAGTGATATACTAAAACGACGAGAACGATGATGATGATGATGACCGTGTATATATATTTATATTCAACAATAATAATAATAATAATAATAACAACAACAACATAAATTTTCAGTTCCCTGCTTTTTTATTGCTATTTTTATTTTCGTATCTTTTTAAAAAACAATTGTTACCTCCTTACTGCACTCGTGTAACAACAGGAATAACGGTTGTGTGGGTCTTCGCGAGAGCGCGGCGCCACCTTTTTTCTTGTTATCAACTACAGCAGAATTTAGTCCCCCTTGTTGTTGTTGTTGTTGTTGTGTAATGCTTGACAGAGTCTGAGAAGGTTGTATCGATTGGTTTCCAAGTGTCTGTGCTTTGCTGGCTTGTAAGGCAAGCGCAGCTTTTGGTAAGAGTTGAAGTTGTGCTAGGAATTCTGTAGCTCTTGATTCAAGCCCAGGTGGTGGTGGTTGAGTAGGTGCTTGTGAAGGAGCAGATTGACCTGGAGGTGGTGGTTGCATTTGAATTGAAGGTGGGTTGGCATTTACTTTTGCTGAAGGAGGAGGCTTTATTGTCGATGGTAAAGTTGGTGGTGTAGCTTGACCTGGAGGAGGAGGCTGTGTAATTACTGAAATTGGTGCAGGTGCAGCAATGTTCGTGGATGTTGCTACTGTTGATGCTGCTGTTGTCACCGGAGTTGTTGAGGTTGTTACTTGACTCGGAGGCGGCGGCTGAGTGGGCACTGGTAATTGAACTTGTCCTGGCGGTGGTGGTTGTTCTTGAGTTGCCTTGGGTCCAGACAGAATTTGACTTGGGGGTGGTGGTAATTGAGGTTGTGGTGGTTGTATTTGTAATTGGAAAGGGGGAGGAGGTAGTGGTGGTGGTGGTTGTGGTTGTTCTTGAAGTGGCTTTGGTTCTTCAGGATTCTCTTGTGGTATGTCTTGTGGCTGCTGCTCTGAAGGTTGTTGTAGCATTTGAATGTCCTCCATTGATGACACATTCGTCGTCGTCGTCGTCATCTCTTGAGGTGTTTGTTCGGTGCTCATTCTCTTTTTAAAAAAAAAATAGATTACAATTCTTTTAAACAAAACTTATCATGGCAAAAAAACTATATTCAAATTGGCGATCACATTGTAGGCGACTAACTTAAGTGACGTCATGACTAGCAAATTAAGTTTTTCTGGACTATGGTGCATAACATCTAAAGTCATCAAAGAACATTTGTATTTTATAAAATGGATAAACTTTTCAACTAAGAAGTAAATACAAAATTTAATCCGTGAATATGATATAAAAGTCCTTTTCTGAGCATATTCACGGATTAAATTTTGTATTTACTTCTTAGTTGAAAAGTTTATCCATTTTATAAAATACAAATGTTCTTTGATGACTTTAGATGTTATGCACCATATAAAGGAATTTGATTAAATAATAGAATGGTGGTTTTACTTTTTGTTACTGATATCACAAAGATAAATCATTGTTAAACGATATTTTTTGATACCAAGTCATTAATTATTACCAAAGGAAAATTCACTCTTATCAATTATCATTCTAAATTTGTGATTCATATAAGAACCAGAATATTTATAATAGAAAATGGTGCAAACTCATTTTCATATTGAAATAATGATATATATATATATATATATATATATATACTAAATTATATTATTCACGTCTTATTAAAATTTCGATAGAATGATGACGCTTCGATATAACTCGTTGCCCCGACCTCGAGCTAATGATCTACAAGGTGTCTCCAAATTAGGATTTCGGTTAGTATCGTTATAGGACGAAACTGAAAGTTCACTGGGCGAAACGTTTCGGATTTTGAAAATAGTTTCGCTCGAACACTAACTAATCTACAAATCAAACATGTTAAAGTTTCTATCTAAAAAAAAATGATTTATTTTTTTATCTTTCCAAATGAGAAAGGTACATTTACTTCTAAATATAAATTGAAAAAAATAAATGAACACTACCACAAGAAGCAGTTTATTTATATAATCTTATGCCCTCGTGATTATCTTTATAAGCACGCCTTCTCTATCGTGGTAATGAAACTTAATCTAGTCCTACTTGCCAAAGAGTATAAATTTTTCTATATCTGTCAATTTTTGTCAGATTTCGTAACCATTGATGCCATCGCGAAATCTGACAAAAAAGACATATATAGAAGTAAAGAGTAATACAAGGTGTCGAGCTTTTAAATTTGAATTAGCGTTAGTATTAAATCATTTGTTGAGCATTATTTTTTTCGTGCATAAAGTAACAAAGATGCCGAGCACCGCTTTGGTAGATTTTTATGGTTTTTTATGTGAAATATTACAATTCTTTATTCAAGTTTCATTTCATTTGCATTGATTCATTTAACTAAAAAGCAACGAGAACTTTTAGCCAGAACTACTTCGACGAGTGACACCTCATCCACGACCCAACTACCCTCACCACCAGTACCACCACTAATACCAACAACAGCTCCTCCCCCGATTATATTGTACAATCACCTACCGCCACCAAATGTATTGTACAGTTCGGCTGCATCTTCACAACGAGTTGATCTTAAAACGTCAATAACTCACCCAATAAAGTAAAATTTTAATTATTACATGTATTCCAGCAAAAAATGACGCATTTTACTTTATGTCGACATCAAAAGTACTGAATTTTGTCATTTTTCTAGTGTCAGTTGGATATTACCTGAAGAATTACTAGGCGGTTTATCTATAGAACCGTTACCACCCTCGTTGGATTTGTTTGACGTGTACACGTCAGCTTCGTTATGTGAACGATATAATATTTTTCGAGAAAGAGGAAATAACAGTGGCACTTCCACATCTTCTCAAGCACCACAAATCAATAATAATAATAATAATAATAATAATAATAATAATAATAATAATAATAATAATAATAATAATAATAATAATAA